AGTAATATATACTATTTACTTTATTCCTAAAAGTAGGGGCATTTTTATAACCTCAAAGAGGATCTTTTCCAAACTAAGAACTTCCTCTTTAATTTTGCTTCTCAAATATTCTGGTTAAAATGATTTTTTAAGTATTTAATAAGGTCCAGACCATCTTTAGAGTGTGATGGGCTATGGAAAATTAGAGTGTGATTAAATGGTCAAGGGCAGCCTTAGAAGGAAAAGAACTTACAAAGGTGCACAAACAACTGGAGGGGAGAACCAGCTCTCTTACATACTGACAGCTGCCAGACCTTCCTTCTTTTCTGCCATCTTACTGCTTCCTGAAGCAGTGGGCTCTCCACCTCACACTGCAAATCCCGAGGGTCACTGTCCCAATTTATCAGGTCATCAAACATTTCTGAGCTATAAGCTTTTAAGGGAAAGAAGCACAGAATTTCTACCAAATAATACGCATTTTGTTAAATTATTTCAGGATAACCTGGCTAACATGGCTCAGCGGTTGAGTATCAACCTATGAACCAAGAGTTCATGGTTCAATTCCTGGTTGGGCCACATGACAGGATTGCAGGCTCACTCCCTAGTGGGGGCAGGCAGGAAGCAACCAATCGATGATCATCTCCCATCACTGATGTTTCTCTCTCTCTCACCCTTTCCCTTTCTCTGTAATTAATAAAAAACAAAACAAAACAAAACTTACCATTGTATGTTCAGACATGTGTTTGTCATACTTTTCTTGATTTTTGAAACCACGATCACAGGTATCACAAAAATAGTGGAAAACTGGTTCTTTTCTTTTCTGTGAACAAAAATGAGAGGCATTAGGCTTAGGCAAAAAATCTTTTATCTGTAATAAAAATGTAACTATCCTTCTATTGTAGTAATACATACTCTGATTTTTCACATAATCTTTATACATGGGAGAAATTCCTTAAGACATTACTAATAAAGGTATAATGCTGTTTCTTTTATGTTAAGCAAAGATATTAGGACAAGTAGATACAACAAAAAATTTAAATATGAGTAGAGCTAATGTAAGAGTGGATAGTCCTAGCTGGATTGGCTCAGTGGATAGAGCACCAGCCTGTGAATACAATAATTAAGGGCACAGGCCTGGGTTTCAGGCTCAATCCCCAGTAGGAGGTGTGCAGGAGACAACCAATCAATGATTCTCTTTCATTGATGTTTCTCTCTCTCTCTCCCTCTCTGAAATCAATTTAAAAAAAGGGAATAGCTTGCAAAGTGGTAACCTAATTAAGACTTACTTGAGCATATATTAAGATGCTCTAGAAATAAGTATTTAGTGTAAAAACAGCATTTCATCTTTAAAAAAAAACAATCATATAGGTTTAAAACTACAGTAGGGGAAAAACAATGATTTAGGTAAAGATTAGTTATTTTTTATACCAATTTGCTATTTTATGCTTAAATATAAAACAAAAAAATTACAATGAAAAACTCTATAGGAAATATTTAATTTTGAGATGTTAATAAGTATAGTTTTTCACAATATTTTGTTAATATTAGCTACATATTTTCATGCCAAAATAAAGAGTCTTACTCAACTTATTCTAAACTAATAACGTTATTTGTATACTTTAAAAGTTGAAAGGCCAGACTGTAAACATCAGAATAAAGCAAGCCTATTTTAAGACTTGGTTTCTGAACATAACCAAGTTATTCCTCTTTAAAAAAATTCAAACGATTTTTAATTCCATCACCCCTACCAATCTTCTAGTAATATACATATATAATTTATATATTATCTTTTACTTTATTGAGGTTTAATAACATTTACATTTATCTACTATCCTAATTCTCAATAATACTTACTCTTGACACTAATGAAATGAATTCAATGTTTCCTTTATCTATAATTTTTTCATTCATTTCTCAAAAAGATTTCACTTGAAATTTTTACTTAAGCTAAGATCCTTAAAGATTTTATTATAGCAAGGCTCCATTGTGTCAATAATGGATGCGAACACTAAGAGTTATGACAGAAGCACAGATATGAAAGAGTAACATAGGGACCAAGTGTCACATTCAAGAACATCTTAAAAAATACCTTTTTTTTATGTTTTCCACTGGGAGGGAAGTTGAAGTCGGTAAACTTTGCATCATATTGTTGTGGAAAATAAGAATGTTTAACTAAAAACAAAAGGAGATCCATAAATGTTTGCAAGTAAACAATTATTTAAAGTTTTATTTGCTGTAGCATATGTCATAAATACTTGAGTTAAAAAGTGGTAAACTGCTCCTTCTAAGAATAGCAGTTTGAACAAATTCCCAAAGATTAAGACTAATCTACCAAATAAACATTTTTTCAAATTAATACATGGTGGTAAGATTAAGTGTCCAAAAATGCTTTAGGCATGTAAGCAATGGACAAGCTAATCTGACATAATTCAGATTATTTCAGACATTATGTGTAATAATATAGTATTTCAAACATTAGAAATGTAAACAGTACATTATACCACTCTTTCGACGTCAATCTTAGACCAGAAAACAACATTGTGAAATACTTTTTCTCCTAAAATTATTTTCTTTGCTACTTCATAACTATAATTTTGCTACTGTTATGAATCGTAATGTAACTATCTGTGTTTTCCGATGGTCTTAGGCAACCTTGCTATAGAGCCTAAGACCATCGAAAACACAGATAGTTACATTACGATTCATAACAGTAGCAAAATTATAGTTATGAAGTAGCAAAGAAAATAATTTTATGATTGGGGGGGTCACCACAACTTGAGGAACTGTATTAAAGGGTCTCGGCATTAGACAGGTAGAGAACCACTGTCCTAAATCCTTTTCCTTCTCTATTGCCATAACCCAACTCTGAAGCCCTGATCTTTCACCTAGATTATTGACCCAGCCTCCCAGATTGTTTGCCAGTTTCTTCCAACAGACCCTGCACATTGACACCAATTCTGCAAAAGTCTTCCGAGGCTCCTTCCTGAAACCCGGGTGTATTTCCTCACTCTTTCCCCATACCTTTCACGTACTCTGCTTAAGTCACACTAGAACGCTGTAGCTGCAGAACTCTCTTTGTACCGACACCTCTTTGCCTCTGCCTTCAAAATATCTCTTCCTAAACATCTCCCAAGACATTTCTTCCAAAAGCTGCTCCCAATGCCTCAACACTCGGAAACTACCTTTTATATACTTCTATCACCAGCACACTGTATGGTGATTTACATTTGTGAACCATCTCACCTGACTTAGTACTGCCTTAGGCACATTTGTATTCCTAGCATTTGGCACAGGATAAACAATGATTTAGATTCAATGTAATGTAAAAGGAATTTTATGCAAAGTTTGAGAACAGTGAACAATATCATATCTTTAAATATGATCAATATGCTGATGACACCTAAATGTACAACCTCAGCCACAAATCTCCCCTGAAAGTACTAGATAGCTAACAGCCTACTCAACATCTCTACTTGACACACATATTTTAAACTCTCTCCTGGTCTCTCCAAATCAGCTCTACCCACATTCTACTTGTTTGGCATAAAATAAAAAAAACAAAAAAACCTACTATTAAGTTATTCTTTACCTACAGCAAATGGTTTGGGTCCTACCCTACCTCCAAAGTATATCTAGAATCCAACTATTTCTCATCACCTCCCGAGCCCCACCCTGGTCCAAGTCCGCAGTATCTCTCACCTGGAAAACGGCACTAACTCCCTAACTGACCTCGCTTTTATTCGATTCCTATTGGTAGTCACATTAATCCTTTAAAAACATAGATCAAATCATGTCACTCCGCTGTACTACCCATATCACAACAATAAAAACCAAAGCCCCATCAACTATAAAGCCCTTACAGATCTGCTCTATCCGCAATTTTCTACAATTCTACGCCAGGCTCGTTCCTCCTTAGACACAATGATCTGCACATCAGTTTCTGCCTCAAGTCCCTTGCAGTTGCAGTTCGTCCTACCTGTATCCCTATTCCCCCCAGAAGCACCCATGGGTCTGATCCTTCACCTTCTTGATGTCTTTTCACAAATGTCACCTTCCTTATGACTGGCACTGAAAACTGCACTACCCACCTTTCCTTTCTTTATCTCCCTCCGCAGCACGCACGGCCTTCAAATAAGCCTTCATTTTGTTTGTTCTCCTACACCAGATGTTTCCTACTACATCCCCAGCTCCTGATGCATAGCTGGAATTCAATTAACTACCTGCTAAATTGAAAGGGCAAGGAAAACATGCCTGCCGGACAAATAGTGAGACATGAATGATCAGTCTCCCGAGAGTGCAGCGCAAAATCAGAGAGGGGTAAGGGAAGGGGGGGGGGGGGGAGAGAGAATTGAAGAGGGAAGAAGGAGAGCAAAGGGAGGAGTGGCAGCTTACCCGGAGCGTTGTGGGCTGTCTGATGCGGAGGAAAACTGCTGGGAGACGGTCTCCAGTGCCAAGATGAAGCCTGGAAACTCCAGGAGGGCTGGCCGTTGATCTGCGGCTGAGAATCAAGGCGGGACTGGGTGTCGAAGAGGGTCTGGGTCCCGGGAAGAACCTGGGCGTCGAAGCGCGGGGGCGCCTCGGGGAGCGCCCGGCCCCCCGTGGGCGGCTGCGCCTCCGCGGCAGGCTCGGGCCCCGCGGCGGGGGGCGGCGGCGAGGAAGGCGGCGGCGGCGGCGGCAACATGGCCCAGAGCATCCATTTGTGCTGCAGCGGGACGGGGTCGCTCACGGGCCCCAACGTGGGGATCCGCTCGGGGGCTGGAAACCACCCCGCGGGAGTCACGAACCCGCTAGCCGGCTCAGCCATGCCAACCTCAGGGAGAGAACCCAGCGTGCGAATCGGAGCCGGCCTTTTACGTCACTTCCGTCATCGCGGTGACGCGCTCAGCCAATCACACGCTGAAACGTCATCGACCAGCGCCGGGAAAACTTCCTGCATTTGCCAAGGACTGCAGGCTGGTTAGCAGGAAGGCTACGCGCTGTGTATTTAGACTTGCGGGCGTGATCTGTACCGGCCTCCGCGCATGGCGAGGGATCTGATCGGGCCAGCCCTTCCGCCCGGCTTCAAGGCCCCCGGGGCAGCGGGGGACGAGGAGCGGGACCCCAGCCCTGGTAAGCTGCTGCCGGGCCCGCCCGGCCCTTTCTTTCCTGCCCGCCCCGCGGTCTGGGTGCCAGTGAGGCCTGGAGAGCGGGGGAGAAGGGAGTGGGGTGTTAACTTTCCTTCCCAAGCCGTACCAGAGGGGAAAGGAGGCCGTGAGGGCCCCAGAAACGAGTTTCGGCCCGGTAATTCTTATAACAGTGATGTGTTCCCACTTAGCGTTAAATGGCTGGACGCTTTGCGAAACTATCAATACACAGTCAGTGTATTGTGGCAACTTTGTAAGTTAGAGATTATTTTTGCTGTCGAGGAAAGAACTTGTCCAAGCTTACAGAAAAGTTTTGTGGAAACCAATATTTTCATTGATTTCAGAGAGAGGACGGGAGCGGGATACAGAGATAGAAACATCAGTGATGAGAGACATCGCTGATTGGCTACCTCCTGCACGTCCCTCTCTGGACACCGAGCCCAGCTATCTGACCCGCGGTCTCCCAGTTCATGGGGTCAAGGCTCAGCCAAGCAGCGGGGCTATTTAAGCCAAATCTTTGTGGACATGCCCCGAATAAAGATCTGAACGGATGGAGAAAATGCTCTAAAGAAGGGAAGTTTTTGCATTTCTCTTTATGTATTTAGTATCAGAGGGAATAAAGTAAGGAAGGTACATGAAATCCACTGTTGGTAGATTAAGGGGGGGTGGAAAGCAAAGTGGGGGAAATCTCTAGGATAAAATAAAAAGCAAAGTAAAGAAACATTTTTACATTGGTGGGTACAGGATAGTCACTTAACATTTACAGCACATAAAGATGGTATGCAACAAGATAACAAAGAGGGCCCCTGTGTTCTCTGATGGGCCTGCGCTCTGGTGCCTGAAATTGTGCCTTTGAGGGGTCTAGAAAAGAAAATTGTGTATCTTTTCAAAGTTATGTTGTCCTTGCCGAAACCACCGGTTTGGCTCAGTGGATTGAGCGTCAGCCTGCGGACTGAAAGGTCCCAGGTTCGATTCCGGTAAAGGGCATGTACCTTGGTTGCGGGCACCTCCCCAGTGGGGAGTGTGCAAGAGGCAGCTGATGGATGATTCTCTCTCATCGATGTTTCTAACTCTCTATCCCTCTCTCTTCCTCTCTGTGAAAAATCAGTAAAACATATATTTTTTAAAAAAGTTATGTTGTCCTAAGTACATAAGAACAATGGACAGGGCTCACTTAGGGTGAAGATTGACTTTGCTAAGGAAGCTATAGGCCTGGGGTGTGACTACCTTCTATGACCTGCCCAGGAGGAATTTGTGAACAGACCTGCCCAGGCGTGGCCCTCAGTGACCTTGTCAATGTTATTGCAGAGCCCCCCTTTTTGTTTCCATGTTACAAATGGGGTCCCTGAGGCTCAGGCTGTTACCAGATCGCACAGCTAGTCAGTGGTGGAGCCCTATTTAGAATGAAGTCAGTACTCTGTGACTTACTGCCTTCTGATATACAGTGTCTCTGGCTCTTGGAGAAGATGCTGTGTTCTCTAGCCTGACCTTCCATCCTAGCTTCTGGCTCTGTCATTGCATCTCAAACCAGTTAGAGTTTCCGGCAGTTCACCAATTCTCTAATCTCCTGGCTTCACTCTGCACTTAACATACCTGACAAATTCCTACCTCATCCTTGAAAGCCCTACTTAAATGGCACCTCAGTGAAGCTTTCCAAAACTCTCCCAAGCATTGTCATGCCTTCTTCTTTACTCATGGGTTTTTTCCCCCTACTTAATTACATCATGTATTTAACACATTGTTTTCGAATAACTGGTTGGCTTACCTGTCTCCACTATTGCACTGTAAACTTCTGGCCGTAACACAGTAGCACTTTGTATTTGCCAAGTAAATGCTTTTCAGACTCCTCCGTGCATATCTACCTCCTTTAATGTTTGCTCTAATTCATAGCCTGGTTCTGACACTGAAGTTGGAAAAGAATAAAGCCAAAAGAGTAACTCTCCCATTTCTCAATCTAATTTTTGTTCTTGGACTATCTGGCGGCCATGTTTCCACCTAGAGTAGCAACATTCAACCTTTTTCATCTTATAATTGTTGGGTCACTGGATATGCATATATTCATTCATCTTTAGTAGATTCTACCAGTTTCCAATACCAATTTACATTCCCACCAGCATTATGAGAATCCTCATTCCATATTCTCACTAATACTTTTATCTGTTTTTTAAATCTGATGATTTGTAGCAATATCTCATTGTAGCTTTAATTTGTATTTTTCTGGTGACAAAGTTGACCACCTTTTCATGGTTTTGGTTTTTTGCTTTTGTTTTCTCATTAGGATAAGGGTCAAGTCTTTTGCTCATTTTTTCTTTGAGATGCCCTTTTTCTTACTGATTTGTAAAGCTCTTTATATAGTCTAGACAAAAGTCATTTTTCAGCATGAATCTTTTTTCAGAGATGTGTGCTGCAAATATTTTCTCTAATTCTATGAGTTGCCTTTTGACCTCTCATTAGTATATTATGATGAACATAAGTTCTTAATTTTCATATATTTTGGTTTTTAATTTAATTTATATTTTACTGAATTTATTGAGGTGATACTGGTTAACTAAATATCACAGAATTCAGATGTACAATTCTACCACCCATCATCTGTACACTACATTGTGTGTTCAACATCCTAAATCAAGTCTCTTTCCATCACCATTTATCCCCCCTATGCCCTCCTCCACCTCCCCCAGCAATCACTACAACACTGTTGTCTGTGCCCATGAATATTCTCTCTCTCTCTCTCTCTCTCTCTCTCTCTCTCTCTCTCTCTCTCTCTCTCTCTCTCTCTCTCTCTCTTTTTTCCTCTTCTTTGGTCAATCCCTTCACCCAGTCCTGCAATTCCCATCCAATCCTCCATAGATGTCAGCCTGCTCTCTATGACTCCATCTCTATTTTCCTTGTTAGTTCATTTTGTTCATTAGATTCTACATTGAGTGAAATTACATGGTACCTGTCTTTCTCTGTCTCATTTCACTTAGCACAATGTTCTACAGGTCTATACATGCTGTCACAAAGGGTAAGATTTTCTTTTTGTCAGCCAACTAGTAATCCATTGTGTAAATGTATCACGGCTTTTTTATATTATACTCTCATCTACTGATGGACACTTGCACTGTTTCCAAATCTTGGCTACTGTAAATAATGCTGTAGTGAATTTAGGGGATACATATATGGTATTCTTTCAAATTAGTGTTTTGGATTTCTTTGGATAAATTTCCAGAAGTGGAATCACTGGGCTATATGACAGTTCCATTTTTAATTTTTGAGGTAACTCCATACTGCTTTCCACAGTGACTGCACCAGTCTGCATTCCTATCAACAGTGCACAACTTTTCTTCCCTTCTCTTCCCATCATTGCTATCATTTGTGGTGTGTTGATTTATTGACGATAGCCATTTTGACAAGTGCGAGGTGATATCTCATTGTGGTTTTAATTTGTATTTATCTGATGACTAGTAACATTAAGCATCTTTTCATATGCCTTTTGGCCATCTGTATGTTTTCTTTGGAGAAGTGTCTATTCAGGTCCTTTGTCCGTTTAGTTAATTAGATTGTTTGAGGGTTTTTTGGTGTTAAGTAAGTTCCTTATAAATTTTGGATATTAAGTCCTAATCAGATATATCAGTGAATATATTCTCCCCTTCAGTGGGTTGTCATTTCATGTTGTTGATTTTTTCCTTTGCTGTGCAAAACTTTTTCATTTGATGTAATCCCATTTGTTTATTTTTTCCTTTTGTTTTTTGCCCAAGGAGATCTATCAGAAGAAATATTGCTATAAGGAATGTCCAAGATTTTACTACCTATCTTTCTTCTAGGATTTTTATGGTTTTAAGTCTGTAGGCCATTTCGAATTTATTCTTGTGTATGGTGTCAAAAAATGGTCTAGTTTCATTTTTTTGCATGTATCCATCCAGTATTTCCAACACCACTTATTGAATGGACTATCTTAACCCCATTGTATGTTTTTGCCTCTTTTGTTAAATATTAATTGATTATAAAGGCACGTGTTTATTTCTGGGCTCTCTATTCTGTCCCATTTATCTTTATGTCTGTTTTTATGCCACTATCATGCTGTTTTAATTACAATGGCTTTGTAGAATAGTTTGATATCAGGGAGTGTGATTCCTCCATCTTTGTTCTTTTCAGTATTGCTGGGGCTATTTGGGGTCTTTGTGTTTCCATATAAGACTTTGGAATATTTTTTCTAGTTCTGTGAATACACCATTGATATCTTGATAGGAATACATTGAATTTATAGATTGCTTTGAGAAGTAAGGACACCTATCCATGAACACAGTATATGCTTCCACTTATTTGTATCTTCTCCCATTTCTTTCTTCAGTGTCTTATAATTTTCCTGAGCACAGGTCTTCTACATCCTTAATTTATTCACAGGTATTTTATTCTTTTTGAAGCAATTGAAAATAGGATTGTTTTCTAATAATTTTTTATTGGTGTATGAAAATACAACTTATTTTTTAAATATTTATTTTGTATTCTACTTTACTGAATTCAGTTTTAGTAGGTTTTTGGTGGAATCTTTAGGGTTCTTTATATATAATATCATGTCACCTGCAATTAATGACAGTTTTACTTTTTCCTCTCTAATTTGGATGCCTTTTATTTCTTCTTGTAAAAAAAAACAGGAACAAATAAGATTAAAGTCCATAATAAAAGATAGCCAGCCAATGCTATGAATTCAGAAAAAAGAAAGTTTAGAATGTCAGCTGGGGCTTCATTGAAACAGTTGTGGCTAGTTATGACATACACGAGAAATCTCTAGTTGCAGGACCAGCTCTGCCCCCTAATTATAAAAGCAGTAGTTCAGAGTCATCAGACAGCGATGAGGACAGTAATTCTTTGTACGGAGAAGGAAACCAAGAATCTGAAGAAGATGACACTGGTCCACCTGCAAGGTCAGTCACTTACTTAATCCAAGCTTCAAATCTGGTGTACATTGGTTGGAGCAGATAGCTAGTGAGGGGGATAGCACATCTGCATTTATACAAACAGGAAGAAATCATTTCCTGTGGCAACTATAGTTTTTACAAAGAAATTTATGTTATAATAGTAGTACATAGATGTGGAGATATCTACAATTTCAATAAAATTCTTAAGAATTTGTCTTTAAGGTGTTATTAAAGTGCCTAAATATTCTAAATAAACCATAGGATTTATTCTTTTTAAAATTACATATGCAGTGTATGAGACAGACATAGCAGCATAAAACTTTTCTTTAAATAAGATTAAAAGCTAAAGTCATAAACTTTTTGCTCAGAAACATCTAGCAAACAGACTACTATTTGAAACTTTGTGATAGAATCTTTAACACTAAGGAAAATATAGGAAATGAATATATTACTGCTGTTAAAAAAAAAAAAAAAAGAACCAATCTTTTAACCATTTTAGGCCAAAAATAAATTCCAGGAAAAGATTAGTAGGTGACTTACTGTGGTGTGTGTGTGTGTGTGTGTGTGTGTGTGTGTGTGTGTGTGTTTAATTTGGCAAGATTTTTTTTTTATTTCAGTATTTATACAGTTATTTGAAGTTAAAAACTAAAATTCTTGTGAAAAAAAATGTTTGACATATGCATAAAGTTACACTACTATGTTTCCAGGAAACAGAGGATAAATCAAGATGATGATGATGATGATGATGATGAAGGATTTTTTGGACCAGCCCTTCCTCCTGGATTTAAAAAGCAGGATGATTCTCCTCCGAGGTAATAATGCATAATATTTCAGGCCAGTCTTTTCTAAATATTCATTAATGAATTTTCTGCGATTGTTTTTTACTTACATGTTTCCTAATATTTGAAATTCATGTAATACAAGTAATTATCTAAACTTTTAAGTAAAAATAATTATAATCAAATTTCCTGTAATTATTTACATGTTTATGACACTTTCATAGTTTATAGCACTTCCTCATCTTTTATTTGATAGACAAGTATTTTGTGTATAGGCTGAGTGGAACATGATTCTTCTTTCTCTTTTTTGTAAACAGATAAGGTTGCACACACAGTAAGTCATACACCTGGGGCCTAGAATCCTGGTATTTGACCCTTAACCCAGACTTTTTCATTTCACATGTATATATACATACACACACACACCCACACACACGTGTGTATATTATATGGTGCCTGGCACAGAGTAAGCTCATAGTAAATGTTGATTCCTATTTTCTTGGAATTGCAAAATTTTGAAATGCTAAACATGAAATCGCACAACAAATTGTTTATAATTCATAATACTATTAACCAATGTAAGAGCAAGTTAAAAAGGAAAGGTTGTTGGGCATATTTTATTCAGAGTTTATCATCACATTTGTCAGCTCTTTGTTTTCAGAAATAACAGGGATAGACAATATACTGTCTGTTTTTGTATGACCCCAAGCTAGGAATGATCTTTAAAGGGCCATTAAAAAACAAACAAATATACAGCAGAGACCCAAATGTGGCACTCAAGACCTAAAATTTCCTATCTGGCCTGTTATAGAAAATATGCTGAGAATATAATATATTTTTTTATTTTTTTAAACAAATCTTTATTGTTCAGATTATTACAAATGTGTTCCTCTCCCCCCCCCCCCAATTGCTCCCCTCCACCAGGTTCCCGCCCCACCCTCTGTCCTTTCCCCATCCCCCATTGTCCTCATCCATAGGTGCACAGTTTATGTTCAGTCTCTTCCCACATCCCCTTCTCCCCTTTTCCCCAAGAATTGTCAGTTCACTCCCCTTCTATATCTCTGATTTTAAATATATTTTATTGATTTTTCACAGAGAGGAAGAGAGAGGGATAGAGAGTTAGAAACATCGATGAGAGAGAATCATCGATCAGCTGCCTCTTGTACACCCCCTATTGGGGATATGCCCACAACCAAGATACATGCCCTCAACCAGAATCAAACCCGGGACCTTTCAGTCCGCAGGCCAACGCTCTATCCACTGAGCCAAACGGGTCCCGGCTGTTGTTCATAATTTTTATCTTTATCTTCTTCCTCTTCCTAAAGAACCCCCTTCAGCAATTCATATAATTCTGGTTTGGCGGTGATGAACTCTTTTAGCTTTTTTTTATTTGTGAAGCTCTTTATCTGGCGTTCGATTCTGAGTGATAGCTTTGCTGGGTAGAGTATTTTTGGCTGTAGGTTCTTGCTATTCATCACCTTGAATATTTCTTGCCATTCCTGTCTGGCCTGCATGGTTTCTGTTGAGAAATCAGCTGACAATCGTATGGGTGCTTCTTTATAGGTAACTACCTGCTTTTCTCTTGCTGCTTTTAATATTCTCTCTTTGTCTTTTGCTCTTGGAATTTTAATTATGATGTGTCTTGGTGTGGTCCTCCTTGGATTCCTTTTGTTTGGGGTTCTGTGGGCTTCTTGGACTTGTAAGTCTATTTCTTTCCCCACGTGGGGGAAGTTTTCTGTCACTATTTCTTCCAGTATTCTTTCAGTATCTTGCTCTCTCTCTTCTTCTGGGACCCCCATAATTCTGATGTTGGTTCGCTTGAAATTGGCCCAGAGGTTTCTTACACTATCTTCAACTTCTGTATTCTCTTATCTTCTTGCTTCTGTGGAGGAGTGTCCTCTGGCTCTTTGTGTTCTAAATCTTTGTCTTGATTCTTGCGATCTTCCAGTCTGTTTTTAGGACTCTGTGTAATATTTTTTTATTTCAGACAATGTTTTCTTCATTTCTAGTTGATCCCTTATTATTTCTAGTTGCTTCCTTTTCATATCCTCATAGGTCTCATTTATTTTATCGGGCTTTTTTAGGATATTGTTGAACAACCTTATAACTGTAGTTTTGAACTCAATGTCCAATCTTTTCTTTCCTCCATCTCCTTCCTATGTGTCCTTCCTCTTGTCTGCATTTTAGTTGTTTCCCTAATTTGATGGAATAGTTTTGTGTGCTAGGTGTTCTGGTAGAGTCCAGTAGCACAGCCTTCCTGGTTATCTGTGGTGGACAGTCTTGGTGTAGCCCTTTGTGGGCTGTATGTGCAGTCTTGTTGTTAAGCCTTGCTTATTGTTGGTATCTCTGGGAAGTGTTGATCTCCAAGCCAATTGGCTGTGAGGATCAGCAGTGTCTCAGCTGGGAGGGCTTCTGTACTCCGCTTGGATGGGGTGGGGTCTCGGGGTGGCGCAGACAATCTTTGGTTCCCTGTCAGTCTAACCTTAGAAAAGTCCTGTTCGCGGTGAGTTTTGGAAGATTGGTTGCAGGCACGTGCACCTCTTTGGTAAAGGTGCAGACAAGCTTTGGATTCCAGCCAATCCCTCCTTAGAGAAAGCCAGGCTTTGGGAGAGCTTCTGTGCTCAGCTTGGATGGGGCGGAGTCTCGGGTTGGTGCAGACAAGCTTTGTTTTCCCTTCGGCTCCTCCCCAAGTCCCGCAGTAATGGCCTCTGGCTTCACACACCTTCGAGAGATCTCTGCCCACTGCCTGACAGTCTGGCCTCTCCATGCCTAGGGCCGTCTATCAGAGCAATAGGCTGATTCTGTTTTCCTCTCGAACAAGAAAGCCAGCCGAGCGGTAGCTGTCCGCCCTTTCTGCATGCTGGGAGTTAGCCAGCGCCTTTTCGCTGGCACAGTTCTCCACACCTTCACAGTTCCTGAGGTTCAGCGTGCCTTCTCTCTCCTCAGATGGTAGAGCCTCCTCTCAGCTAGCCGTCCGGTGCTTCAGGGCAATGCCTCCCCTGTTTTCCAGTTCTAAATTCAAATTTGTTGTGGTAGGCTGCATTCGGGTGTCTACCCTATGCCGCCATCTTGGTTTCTCCTAATATTTCTTTTAGGAAAATAAATTATTAAATGTATAGCAGTATCTTTTTTTTTTTTTTTAATATATTTTATTGATTTTGTACAGAGAGGAAGGGAGAGAGAGAGTTAGAAACATCGATGAGAGAGAGTCATCGATCAGCTGCCTCTTGCACACCCCCTACTGGGGTTATGCCCGCAACCAAGGTACATGCCCTTGACCGGAATCGAACCTGGGACCCTTCAGTCCCCAAGCCGACGCTCTATCCATTGAGCCAAACCGGTCTTGGCTAGCAGTATCTTTTTTGAGAATTATATAATATTTTGACAATAATAAAATACATGTGTAAAATAAATAGGTGGTAGCATATAATGTAGGCAAAAACCTTTTATACAGCCATAACATGTCATGATTATATTCTTTTACTATATTTTAAGATTTCATGTACTAGTAATTTTATCTTTACAAATTCCCTGAGGCCAGAGAATTAAGCTTTAATCGAATTTGTAAATATGCTAATAATTGTACTCAGAAAAAAAAATCCATGGAGTACTTCTTATGATAACTAATTTGATCTTTCTAACAGTGCCAAATTTCCCTGTTTTTTATATACAAAATTGATTTGGCTCAAAAAGGTTTTATGAACCAAGAAAAGTGGTTATGAAATGGCTAGGATCAGAAACCAGACCTGATTTTCAGGACTGTTTTCCTCTGCCAGGAGGCTGTCTGGGCTCTAATTGAGCTCAGTGCAATCTGGAAAATTCAGCTTAGGACTTCATTCCCACCTTGCATGGTAATAATGGCTCAGTGACATCTCTGGAAAAAGACATTGGTATAAAAGAAAGGATAAAGAAACTTGAAAGTATGAACAAGAGTAGAAAATATCTTTTCTTTTTTCTCTATACATAGTAAAAATTTTCTCTTTTTAAGACCCAGAATTTAGGCAGTTATCTCTACTGGACTGATGGTAGTTCTCTCAGAATATGGCAATAGGGCAGTTTAAAAGAAAATGAACTTTTCATTAATTGGTTCAGGGATCAGACTCCAGCTCTGCCACTTATTAGTGTGTGTTGCCCTTGAGCATTATTTTGCTCACCTAGAAAATGGAGTGACTTACATCTGGCAAGGTTATTTTATGGAAACAAAGTTACGCTGGTTGGCATGTGGTTAGCACAGTAACTTTTCCTTTTTTTTTTCAAATACATTCTTTTCTATACACTTCCACATCATTTTCAGATTAGTGAAGACAGGCTTAGATTTTTGATACGTGTATCCTAAGTTACTAACATCTGTTGTGTGCATGTGCTGTACATGTCTTTCAAACTCAATTTATAGTTTAGAAATTTAGACTATAATTATAATACCCCTAACGTATTTTTCAGTGGACAGTGAATATTGAAACTGAAAACCAAGGCACCAAATAGAAAAAACATCTTCGTAGGCTTTAGTCCATAATAACAACTCTTTTTAATCACCGTTTTTATTTAAAACTAGAGGCCTGTTGCACCAGTGGGGTCCCTCAGCCTGGCCCATGTAGATCATGCTGAAACCGGCTCTCCCACATCCCCTGAGGGGTCCTGGGTTGCAAGGGGCATGTCTTAAGTGATGCACCCTGGAGGAATCAGGCTCCCTCCTTTCTGGTTCCAGGTGCATCATCTGAGAACTGAGAACTGCTGCTGGCCAGTGATTGCAGCTTGGCAGTTCCTGCATTGAGCATCTACCCCCTTCTGGTCAGTGCACATCATAGTTACCGGCTAATCAGCAGGTTGGCCAGTTGACCAGTCGCTTAGGCTATTATATATCTACTAGTGACCTGGTACGTGAAATTCATTCATGGGAGGGGGTGTCCCTCAGCCCAGCCTGCACCCTCTTCAATCTGGGACCCCTTGGGGGACATCCCACTCATAATCCAGCACCACTGGCTCCTAACCGCTCACCTGCCTGCCTGCTGATCACCTCTAACCATTCTACCTGCCAGCCTGCTCGCTTCCAACTACCCCCCGCCCCCGCCAGCCTGATCACTCCCAACTGCCCTCCCCTCCTGGCCTGATCACCCCTAACCACCTCTGCCTTGGCCCCACCACCATGGCTTTGTCCGGAAGATCTCCCAGTCTAATTAACATATTAGTTTTTTATTAGTATAGGTATAGTTCTTTTATTTATTTAAAAATATATTTTATTGGTTTTTTACAGAGAGGAAGAGAGAGGGATAGAGAGTTAGAAACATCGGTGAGAGAGAATCATCGATCAGCTTCCTCTTGCATACCCCCTACTAGGGATGTGCCCACAACCAAGGTACATGCCCTTGAATAGAACCTGGGACCTTTCAGTCCGCAGGCTGACGCTCTAGCCACTGAGCCAAACCAGTTTAGGCTAGAGATAGAGAACTATCTCTGCCATAAAGATTAAGAATTACAGGTTCAGTATCTAACCATTGACTAACAAATAGAAATTAAAATGCAGCTGAAACCAGTTTGGCTCAGTGGATAGAGCTTCAGTCTGCGGACTGAGGGGTCCTGGGTTTGATTCCGGTCAAGGGTATGTACCTTGGTTGCGGGCACATCCCCGGTGCAGCAGGCAGCTGGTCGATGTTTCTGGCTTTCTGTCCCTCTCCCTTCCTCGCTGTAAAAAATCAATAAAATATATATTTTTTTAAAATAAAAATGCAAAAATTAGATTTTTAAAATATTAAGTGGAAAAATACTAAATTATAAATAACAATAATATGTTAAGTAAAATTCTCGTCCACATTTTTTATTTTCTGACTTTTTATCATTTTTGTGAATTTTATTCTGAAAACTGCTTTTTAAAGTTACAAGAAAATGATAAAGGTACATTTTATATTTCAGGCCCATAATAGGTCCTGCATTACCACCTGGTTTTATTAAATCTGCACAGAAAAGTGACAAAGGCAGAGATGATCCAGGGCACCAAGTACCATCATATTTCACCTCTAAGGTTTGGAAAATTTTTGCTTAAAGGATAAGCTGTAACAAACTCAAGACTTTACATAATTTTTAAATAATAGTAACGACTACAGTTTTTTGACTCAAATGTGATGTAATTGAGGATTAATTGAGGATTATAGCATAGGTAGATAAATCAATTATAAGACCTAAGATTCTATTAGAAAAATAATATATAATGTTGGAAGGGTATTACCTTTTTATGATAATCCTTAAAAGGAAGCTTCAGAGTGCTAGAAGATAGAACATGATGAAAAATGTAAAGAATTAATGTGATCTAACTCAGAGCAGAGAAAGCTCAGGAATTTTTAAACAATGATCTTTACCTTGGAATTAACTCTCTCCTACCTAGCTCAGTTATTTGTATATAGCACTGGCAGATAAGTAATTTTATGAAACGATATTTCAAGTGATTTTGGAGTCAAGTGTGAAGGCTATTTTCTTGTTGAAAGCCAGATCTTCAACAATAGATGAGATTTGTACAGTGTTTTATAACTTTAAGGCATGTTACTCATATGGATATTATTTTTATCTTCTCTACATTGTTATGAAATAGGTATGATCATATCTTACAGATGCTAGAAACCAGAAAAATTGGCTAGTATACACAAGATTGCACAGTTTGTACTTATTAAAGCCCCAGTCTTTATGCCTTTAAATCACCTGTTCACTCTGCTATTCTGTGTGGCTTCCTGTATGTCTATCTTCATTGAGTATTCAGCAGTTACACTGAGGTTGTTACTTCAGGGAATACTATGCAGTGGTTAAGATCATGAACTTCATAATCATTTATTCATTCTTTCAACAATATTATAGAGCTTCTACAGTGTGTCAAGCATATAGTCACAGAAATTAATCTGTCAACAAATTATTCTGTTCTTAACTATACAAAGATATTGAATCCAGCCACTTGCAAATTTGGACCACCCTGGTCCAAATTAACAACATATTTCACCTCTTTTATTTGTTATCATGTTTAGCCCTTATTCCTCAATTACCTCTTCTCAACACAGCAGCTAGAGTTGCCTGGATGAAACAAAGTCAGATCATGTCACACACTCAGGACCATAAATTGTTTTTCCTCTGCAGAAAGCCAAAGTCCTAACAGGGCCCTTTACAATCTGGCCTCCGTTAGCTCTGTGATTTTCTCTCTATTTTGATCTGACCACACTGGGCTCCTTGCCATACCATCAAAATAAACAGGTAGATGTCTACCCCTGAGCCTTTATACCTGCTAAGTCTCTCCAAATTGGTCTTCCCTAGATATGTGTGTCTTGCCTCATTTTTTTGCTGGACTGTCACCTAAAAGAGGTTATTTCTGACCTCCTTCTATCCCCTTCCCTCCTTTAATTTTCTCCATAGCATTTATGACTACCTAAGATACCATTTACTTTACTGCTTTTTTTTTGTTTGTTTATTATTAACTTCTCCCTGTGAGAATGTGAGTCCATTGAGGACAGAGATTTTGTCTGATCTCCAGTAGACATTCAAAGTATTTGCTGAACGAATAAGTCAGACACAGTCCCTGCCCTCATTGCTTAGTGTAGTGGGAATATATACAGTAAACAAATACTGCCCCATATGAGTGATTCAAAAGGTGAGACAAAATATAGTGGAACCATGACAAGGAAATCTAATCTGAAGAAATGAGGAAGACTTTTCCCTGGGAAAATGTCTAAACTGAAGATTGATGAGTAGGAAATAGCTTAGCAAAAAGGGCAGGAAAGATTGGTCCAGAGAGTACAGCTAACTTATTTGAAGGCAAAAAAAATAAGTATGGAGAGGAAGAAAGGATTTTAAAAAATTTAGTACTGGGGAAAACCAAGAAGGGGCCTGGTGGGGGTTAATGGAGAGAAAAGGGGGACATATGTAATACTTTCAACAATAAAGAATTATTAAAAACAATTAGTATGGTTAGACTGGAGAGAATGAGGAAAGAGTTAAGGGGGAGAGGTAGGCCAGAGCTTTGAATTCTGGCTCAGCTTAGTTTTCTTTTTAAACATATTTTATTGATTTTTCACAGAGAGGAAGGGAGAGAGAGATAGAGAGCTAGAAACGTCGATGAGAGAGAAACATCGACCAGCTGCCTCTTGCACACCCCCCACCGGGTATGTGCCCGCAACCAATGTACATGCCCTTGACTGGAATCGAACCTGGGACCTTTCAGTCCGCAGACCGACGCTCTATCACTGAGCCAAAACGGGTTCGGCTCAGCTTAGTTTTCTTATTGGTAGCATACAGGTTGTTATTTTCTAGAGTTGTTGTAAGGATAAATTAGAACAGTGGATAATTTGTAGTAATAATAATAATAATAATAATATTACTATTAATATTATTACCACCTCCACTACTTATGCCATGAGAGTAACTTGGAAGAATTTACATTGAGTATAGGAATCCTTTCTAACAAGGTGGTTAAATATAGGAATAAGTTGTCAGAGATAGGACTTCTAGCAATATGGAAGATTGAGCTCTCAGGTTCAGGCTAGGCTTTCCCAGCCATATCACAAAGGAGTGCTGGGGGGAAATAAGATTGCAACAAAATTAATACATTGCTAAGCTTAAAGAAAGGGAAAGCTACAAATGCTAGTAATATTGAGAGAATTCAAATAGCAGTTAAACACGGTTACTCAGCAGAGGGCCACAGTAGTTTTAGGGATTACACCATAGCATACCTGTTCAAGATTCTCTTGGTTCTGAATTCTCTGCATTGGAATTTCCCTCCTGTTTTCATATTTCCTCAAAGAGAGGCTTTTCTTAGACTCATTCATAACATATACCCCCAAGTTAAGGCATACATAATAATAATAATGATTAACATTTGTTGAGCCCTTGCCACAAACCAGATACTGCAAAGTACAATATAAACTGATGTTTGCATAATTTACTTAATTTGCTTAACAAGTAAACTTAAGTTAATCCAAAAAACAATCCTGGGGAATAGTATGTCAGCTAGAATGCTTTTAGCTGCAAATAACAGAAAATTCAACTCAAAATGGAATTGTCTTAATTTATGTAGTTAGCAAATGGCTTTTTATAATTTCCAGATTAGTATATAATCTGTGTTCTCAAAATAAGGAAAATGAGTTTCATACATAATAAGAGGTCTAGGGGTAGGGTCATTCCAGGGTTTGTTAATTCAACAGCTTAATGAAATCATTGTGTTTTTTTTCCATATTCTCTATCATCTATAGTTAACTCCCATTAGGCTGACCCCTTATATATCAAGAAGCCTGCCAGAGTACTAAGATTCACATGCAGGTGGCAACATCCCTTCAGAGAAGGGGAATGGCCCCTGTCCTATATCCCTTTTTAATTTTATTTTGTTGTTAATCCTCATCCAAGGATATTTTTTCCACTGGTTTTTAGAGAGAATGTAAGGGAAGGAGAGAGATAGAGGTGGAGGGGGGGGGTAGGAAAGAAGGGAGGGAGGGAGAGAGAGAAAGAGAAACATCGATGTAGGAGCGACATATTGATTGGTTGCCTCTTGCACTGGGGATGGAGCCTTCAAGCGAGGTATGTGCCCTTGACCAGGAATTGTACCCAAGGCCCTTCAGTACTGGAGAGGGAAGCCTTCCAAGGCCTCCCGTAGACCATTTCTCACATTTCTTTGGTCAAATGGTCAAGAGAAATAAAACCAAAGTGTTTGGCCTAGAATTACCAGCATTTTCCCTCAGGAATTAGAGAAGATTCCAGTTTCTTGAGAAGAGCATGGCTTCAAAGAGGATGAACAAAACTACCGTTCTCTTAGCAACAAAGTAGTTATTAGTTGAAGCTGTTATAATCCCCATCAGAAGGACAAAACTGGGGCCTAGAAATGTCAAATTACAGGCCTAAGGTCATAGGCAAATTGAAGCCCTGAAACTTGGTCTGCCTAATTCTACAGCACAAAATATAAACCAGTAAGGTACATATTTTCTATTGTATTTCTGAATAAGATAACTCACCTTTTTTGTTTTTTAAAAATTAACCCATCCAAAATATCAAAATGACTTAAAACCTAGATTGGATATGGTTTATGATTCTGGCTTCTCATTTTCAGTTTAATGTGTTGAACAATGTATTATTTGCTTTTTTGTTTTATTGTTTCTATGTAATTACATCAATTAAATTTTAAGTAATTTGGGATCATATTCTATTACCTCTTGGTTTAAAGATAATGTCTTATTTCAAAAGGAAACGGATAGCAGTGAAGATGAGGACATTGTTGGACCAATGCCTGCAAAAGGACCACTTAACTATAGTGTAACAGCAGAGTTTGATAAAAGAGCCCAGAGAATGAAAGAAAAACTGACTAAAGGAGATGATGTAAGTTTGAAATATACTCTACTCTGAAAAACAGGCAAATTAAAAATCTAAATTTTAAAAATAGACATTAAAAATACAGATACAGGGTTGGGCAAAAGTAGATTTACAGTGGTGAGTATGCAAAACATGGTTCATTCTTTTTTTGTTACTCCTCACTCAAGAATATGTTTATTGATATTTAGGGAGAGAGAAAAACATTGATGTGAGAGAAACATCGATCAGTTGCCTCCCCAACTGGGGATTGAACCCACCCCTTTCATTGCACAGGATAATGCTTCAACCAGTTAAGCCATCCAGCCAGCGCTAGTTTATTCTTCTGTTGCTGTTGTTGTTTTTGTTATTAATCCTCACCCGAGGATATTTTTTTCTATTGATTTCTGGAGAGTGGAAGAGAAGGAGGGAGAGAGAGATAGAGACACACACAGAGAGAAACATAAATGTGAAAGAGACACATCAATTGGTTGCCTCCTATAAGCACCCCAACCAGGGCCAGGAATCAAACCTGCAACCCAGGTACATCCTCTTGACTGGGAATTGAACCGACAACCTTCAGGTAATGGACCAATGCTCTAATCATTCAGCACACCAGTCAGGGCTTGTATTATTATTTATTATATTATTTTCCATACAAAAAACTGTCCCTCTACTTTTGTCCCACCGTGTATATCTAACAAGTATGTATGTATACATATAAAGAAAATTTAGGAGCTGGGTAATCCAAAACTATAAAAGGAAAAGACTGGCAAATTTGCCTCCTGAAACAGTTGAGTATGGCAAAAGATGACAAAGTCAATAAATTAGATTTTTAAAATTGGTAAAATAATGATAAAAACATCAGTTCCTTTTGTTTCTCTTAAAGGATGCAGCTAAACCAATTACAAGGGAGTCCTGGATGACTGAGCTTCCTCCGGAATTGAAAGACTTTGGTCTTGGGCCCAGAACTTTTAAGAGAAGAACCGATGTCAAATCTGGAGATCGATCAGTGTGGACAGATACTCCGGCTGACAGAGAAAGGAAAGCCAAGGTGAAAGTGGTTGTTCATGTATTTCTGTCCATGTTGACTATTTTAAAAAGTAGTAAGGCAGAATTATTTAACCATACTATTTCTTTTGTATATATATTTATTGATTTTTTTTACAGAGAGGAAGGAGAGGGATAGTTAGAAACATCGATGAGAGGGAAATATCGATCAGCTGCCTCCTGCACACCTCCTACTAGGGATGTGCCTGCAACCAAGGTACATGCCCTCGACCAGAATCAAACCCAGGACCCTTGAGTCCACAGGCCAGCGCTCTATCCACTGAGCCAAACCGGTTAGGGCATAACCATACTATTTTGAAAATTATGATTCGAAGGGAAAATACAGATTTCCCCTTGAAGGAAAGTTGGAAGGAAAGAAAGTGACACCATTTGCTTACCATTTCCCAATAAATTGTGTCATTTAAATCTCTAGAAAACTCTGAGACATGGGTTTATTGATTTAATTTTATAGGAGAAACTAACCTTTATGAGGTTAGTGTTTCTGGAATTACAGTACTGGTAAGTGATGAATATAATTCCATTCTAGACTTTTCTACCTCCAAGTTCTTAGAGTATGAAACTCCAAAATTGGTCCTTATACAGCATCAAACTATTTCCATTACAAGGTATCTTTGAAAATATCCTGGGGGGGCGGGGGGGAAGCAAAGCCACAGATTAACCTAGATAAATGATGCATAAAGACTCTTGTTACTATCAAGATAGGCAAGAAGCACTTGCATTAATAGTGCTAAATACAACAAAATAAACAGAAAAAACCAAGCTCATGAGTCTAGAGAACAGATTGATGGTTGCTTGAGGTAGGGGGCAGACAAATGAGTGAAGGGGTCAAAGGCACTGATTTCCAGTTATAAAACGAGTCAGTTCTCGAGAAGTAAGGCACAGCATGGTGACTATAGATAATAATACTCCGCTGCATATTTGAAAGTAGTTGGGAGACTGGATCTTGAAAATTCTCATCACAAGGGGAAAAAAATTTGTAACTATAGTGAGGGATGTTAACTAGATTTATTGTGGAGATCATTTTGCAATATATGCAAATATCGAATCATTACATTATACACCTGAAACTAATATAATGTTATGTCAATCATACCTCAATAAAAAAGAAGCACTTTTATCAATACATTAAATAATTTACAAAATATATACCCAAAGAAGTATGCATAAAATACATCATTATCTTACATTTTTCTTTTCTTAAATCTTTTCTGTTTATTATGAAATACTCCATTGTAAATTAGGAGTTGAACCAACATCCTCCTTAAATTTACTCCATCCAAAGTTTTTAATTCCCTTAAGCTATTCCTTTCAAATCTTAAATATTATACTAATTAGCACTTTATGATTATAGCTTTATCAGTTCTGACTTAAACAGTTGCACATTTAGTTCATTCCCCTCACTTTGTTTATCTTGTTCATTAGTACTTAGACTTATGAGGATTCCTATTTTCATTCTGTAGCTATAAATTGTGTTATAGTGTAATTATAAATTGGTTGTGAAATAATGTTATTCTTAAAATGTGAATAATATGTTGAAATCTCAACATTTTTGCACCCTACCCTGAATATGTGGCAGCATCGTAAGTTCTTAGTTTGCCCTCAGATTAAAGGGTATCTAAGAGCTGTAATAGAAAGGTCAGGTGCACCAACATAAATGGGGGCAGAAGAGGCAGCAAAAGATGTGGTGTAGACGTGAGTGACACCTTTGAATGACGGGTCCTGGAAGGCCCATCTAATGTTTCTTTCCTGGTCTCATAAAAATAATGTTAGTGATTTTCTAATTTAGCCTTTATGATTGTTTCCAAAATACAATTAACTCCCTTACTTACATGGACTTTTTACTTGTGCTTACATTTATTTATGCACTCTTCTGTCCTTCTGTTCCTCATTGTAAATTAATAGTTGTCTAGCCTACAGCCAGATATGCAGGGCTTGTTCAGAGGAAAATATCACAGGAAAATGGAGTCAATAAAAACTAGGCAATACAACCTGGACATAAGTGATTGTAGGCCTAATGACTTGAGTTGTTTAGATCTGGTTATTCTTTTCAAGGCTGAAGGTGTATTGTTCTGTGTTTACAATGGACTACTAAAGGAATATAATACCCTTTAAACTTTATGTATTATAAAGTATAGCAGATAGTACCACAGAATTATATGTATTTGTGGAACAAACTATATATGATCACAGAGCTATTTGTTTTCTGATTTTTTAAAAAAAAGAAGGATCTCTTTATATATATATGTATATATATATATTTTTTATTGATTTTTTACAGAGAGGAAGGGAGAAGGATAGAGAGTTAGAAACATCGATCAGCTGCCTCCTGCACACCCTCACTGGGGCTGTGCCCGCAACTAAGGTACATGCCCTTGACCAGAATCAAACCTGGGACCTTTCAGTCCGCAGGCTGACGCTCTATCCACTGAACCAAACCGGTTTTGGCTGATATTTTTTATTTTGTGTAAAGTTCATGACCAATTTTTTATTTTTGTAACAGATATTAGTCCTTTCCTTTTTTTTAACTTCCTTTTTAATAGGTCCTCTTTACTTCATCTTACTTTTTTCTATTTTATTCTGAAACATACATCTCCCATATCACATTCACTTAACTGACATTACCTAAAAGAAGTAAAATTGCTCGTTAGGAAGAAGTGGAAGGGTGATGCATAAGTTAATTAAATAAGATCTGTTATATTATCACCTCCCAGTCTTGACTATATCTATGAACTCTTAAATGGTCATGTTTTTATATCCATTTATCGTAACATCATGTTTTTCTGACTATTTATAATTAGAAATATATGCTTTCTTGGAAATGTTTTATGGAAAAGTAAGAATTGAACTATTTCTGCTGAAACCGGTTTGGCTCTAACTAAAATTTGTTGGAAATTTATCTAAGTACAAACTTTGATTTTGTGTGTGTGATATGATAAATGGTTGTTCTTTTTCTTAATTTTGAATTCCAGTTGTTCATTGCTGTATATTGATCTTGTGTCCTATAGCTTTGCTGTACTTGCTTATTAATTCCAGGAGTTTTTCGGTTGATTGCTTGGGTTCTTTACCTAGATGATGGGTCATCTGTGGATATAGTTTTATTTTTATTTTCCAGTCTGTACACCTCTTTTTTTTTTTTTTTTTAATTTGTTTCCTCAAGAGTAATTTTCCAAGTTTTGAAAATATAATATAGGATTTCTTTTTAAGCCTTATTTTATCTTTTACATTTCATCATTGTAAGACTCAGTGTGAGTTCAGGAAATAGGTGATTCTTCCAGTTAGTTGATAGAGTTGTGTTATGTTTTTTGTTTGTTTGTTTGTTCTTATTTTTAGGAAAATCTTAGAATTCTAACAGACCTCTTAGTATTCTAAGAGTATATTAACATTTCTAATGGAAAGAGGTTCAACAAGCCTGGCTTAGTTTAGGCTCTAATTATTCAATCTGAGTAAAAATAGTAATATTTCTTTTTTACTTTCTCTTAATTATATGGTTCAGTAATGTGTAATCTGTGTTCATTCCTCAGGAGACAAAAGAAGCAAAGAAGTCATTCAATAAGAAGGATGAAGAACATATATTGTCAGGAAGGGAAAAGAGATTGGCTGAGCAGGTGTCCTCATACAATGTAAGTTAGAAAAAATATATAACCTTTAACTTTTTTCTATATTTTAATGCTCCTCATTTTTTCTTTTGCTTGTTTCTTTTTCTTTTACATGTCTAAACTCTGTTGTATATATATTTATGTAAAATCCTATAATAAAAGGCTAATGTGCAAAATGTCCCCTCCACCAGGAGTTTGACCAGCAGGCAGGCTGGCCAACCACCCATGTCTCCTCCCCCTGGCCAGCGAAAGATGTGGCTGAACCCCACCCATGCACAAATGCATGCACTGAGCCTCTAATGTGTATTTTTATATATATACACACACACACACACTCTGAGTGGCCAGATTATTATGTTCAGAGATCATAATAATCTGGCCACTCAGTGTAAGAAATTTAATTTAATTCCTAGAGATCAGTAGCACGTGATCAGGAAGTTAAGAGCCCTACTAACTCCTAGAGAACCTCAATTCATATATTTTTTTTTTATTATAAGCAGATTTGGAATGTTTTATGCAAAGATTTAAATATGAAGAAAAATGTTTTTAAATTTGGTTCAATCTAAATTTGTAAACTGAAGGGTCAGGATTCATTTGGCATGTCATCATTTTGTTACATTCTCTTACTCGAGAGAAGAAAGAAAAATGGTGTTCGAGCTCAAAGAATAAATGTCAGTCACTTAACCCATTGGTCCTGAAAGGTGTTCAGGAAAATTACCTTCTGTTTCTAAGATATTAGTTAACAATAAGTCCCATAAACATTAAAAATATAATGAGAATGATTTATTGGACATATGTAGACAGTGAAGCACATGAAACCTTTTTAGAAACTGACCAATAACTCAACTGCCAGGGAACATTTATGAAAACTGATGAGCTCAAAAGTCATTGTCTCAACAAAATTGAAAGTCACAATCATTCAAGCCAACTTCTCTGACCACACAGAATTTAAGTTAAAATTCAAATAATTTTAAAGTCTTATACAACAAGAACTTAAAAAAAAATCAAAATTTAAACTTTGCATCAAAGAAGACATGATTCATGGATTTTAGAAAATACCTAAATCTGAATGATACAAAAATACAAATATATGGGATGCAATATAAAGTGGTACTTTTGGCCAAGATTTTAGCCATATTGAGTTATGTTAGAAAAGAAGAATAGTTGAAAAAGCTGTGCCTTTTTCCAAATGGGCATTTTTATAAAACTAAACATATACCTACCCTTTGATCCTGCAACTCCATCCTGGGCATTTAGCTAAGACAGATGAAAACATGTCCACATGAAGACTCGAACATGCTTTAATTCATAGTAGCTTCAAGAAAAGACTTACACAGAATATTCACAGACATGTTAGTCATAATAGCTAAATTTGTGAGTAGCCCAGGTGCCCATCAAAGAGAAAGAAAAACCAAACTATATATAATGGAGTACTACAAAAAAAGAAACAAATTATAAATAAATGTGACAGTGTGGTTAAATCTCAAAGTCCTAATGCTTGGTGAAAAATGACTTCCTACACAAGTTCGTATTCAGTGACTCCATTTATGTGAAGCTCTACAATAAGCAAAATGGATCTATGATGGAAAAAAAAATCACAATAGTGGTTGTTGGAGTGGAAATGTGTGACTGAGTATAAAGGAGCATATGGAGCTTTCTGGTGTGATGGAATTGTTTCAGATCTTGATAGGAATTTAAATTCTAAAACCTAGTAAATATAATGTAAGATTTGTGCATTTCATTGTATGTAAACTTACCTTAAAAGAAAAGCTTGTAAACAAATATTGAACTCTAGCTAATGAAATGGGTGTTGAAGTACTTAGGGTACATGTAGTGATATGTACAATTGACTTTTTTTTTTTTTTTTTTTTTTTTTGTACAGAGAGGAAGGGAGAGAGATAGAGAGTTAGAAACATCAATGAGAGAGAGTCATCGATCAGCTGCCTCTTGCACACCCCCTTCTGGGGATATGCCCGCAACCAAGGTACATGCCCTTGACTGGAATCGAACCCGGGGCCCTTCAGTCCCCAAGCCGATGCTCTATCCATTGAGCCAAACTGGTCCCGGCTACAATTGACTTTAAAATGCATCAGAAAATTAGGGTTTTAATTTCATACTGAAATTGTGGTTACTTTTGAGCTGTGCTGTTCAAAATAGTAATAATCTTAAAACTAAACCACCTTATAATTCTTAGTTTTGATAAATCAAGCACTATTTAAAATATTACCGGTACAGACAAAATAAAAAACAAACTAGAATCTTAGCATGAATTTTTAAAAGCTACTATAACACTGTCCCCCTTAACATAAATTGCCCTGGCATTTATAAAGCTTTATAAAACACACATTTTTGTTAAACAATTAAATTAGGTAAATCAGCAAATTAGTCTCTACATGAACTGGCTTTCAGTGTGATTTTTAGTGAATTGATTCTTTTAGGTGTTTTTATTATTATTCTAGCCGTAGTTTGATCAATGTGTGTCACAATATGCAAATGATGCTAACCCAGACAGTACACCTGAAACAATTGATATGACAAATTTGAGACCTTGAATTGTTTGAATTGGTTATAATAGTCTAGTGGTTTGATGTATTCCCTATCTTTATTGATATTTAATTTACTAAAGCAGATGCTCCTTGACTTTCAATGGGGTTACATCACAATAAACCCATCGTAAGTTGAAAATATCATTAAGTCCAAAATGCATTTAACACACCTAACCTACCAAACTCTACAGTTTAGCCTAGCCTACCTTAAACATGCTCAGAACACTTACATTAGCTTATAATTAAACAAAATCATCTAACTCAAAGCTTGTTTTATAATAAAGTGTTGAATATCGCACATAAAATTATGCTTATCACTTTAGCACCACTGTAAAGTTGAAAAATTATAAATTGAAACATCATATGTCTGCATAGTGGATCAGTAAAACCTGCCATCTTTATTTCCCCATTTTTATTGGCCTTTTGTTACTTTTTGTATAGTTTGCTCATCCTGTTTCTCAGTAGGGGCTCTAGGTAAAGTAGGTCCTCTACAACTTCATTTTTCTCTCATTTCCTCCAAATTTTGTTCTCTGTTATCTCCAGCTGTTTAAAAAATATCTCAGGCCTTCCCCTTCCAACTCTTGATACCCTATCTCAACCCCTTCCTAGGCACTCATGTAGGCTTCACGGACTAGCACATCCATAAGGCTTTAACCAGGCTGCCACGTGAGAATAGAATTGCTCTTTCTTTCTTATGCTTTTACTTATGTGGACTCCAAATTTGATACATCACAAATGCTTTTCTCTTTTATTACTTAAACATTTGTTTCCTTTCTGTCTTGCTCTTTATGTGTATATGGCATGTAGTTAGTAGATGTCTTCATTTTGGTTTAATTGAATTGGCCTCTGATACATATTTTCTTCATAGATGCTGTCTTGGGTTTGGAAAAATCTGTTGGGGTTTGTAAATAGCCCTCTTAATGTTCACCCTTACTACTTAAATGTCTTGCTTCACTATCATATTCTGTCAATAATCTATACAAACTAAGATTTTTATTTCTACTCTTCTGACTTTTCCCCAGGAATCAAAAAGATCAGAATCTCTTATGGACATTCATCAAAAAAAACTAAAAAATAAGGCTGCTGAAGATAAAAATAAGCCCCAAGAAAGAATACCATTTGACCGTGATAAGGATCTCAAGGTGCATCGATTTGATGAAGCTCAGAAAAAAGCCCTAATAAGAAAATCTAGGGAACTAAACACCAAATTTTCACATGGCAAGGGCAGTATGTTTTTATAAGTAAGTATATTTCAGTGAGGTATATTTTATATCAATAAATTTGAACTTCTTAAAAATAAATTTAAAGAAAAAAAATTTTTTCATCTTCATCCAAGGATATTTTTCTATTGATTTTTAGAGAGAATAGAAAGGATGGGGGCAGACAGAGAGGATTATTGATGAGAGAGAGACACATCAATCAGTTGCCTCCCACATGTACTCCAACTAGGGCTGGGGACTGAGCCTGCAACCAAGATACATACCCTTGACCGGAATCAAACCTGGGACCCTTCAGTCTGCAGGCCCTCGATCTATCTACTGAGTCAAACTGGCCAGAGCTGAAAATAAATTTTGTTTATAAATAATTATGTGTACAAATCTATTTCCTTTTATAGTAAAATATATTGTAAATCTGCAAATCTTTTTCTATACGTAAACTGTTTTGTTTTGTTTTGTTTTAAATTCAGCCTTTGGGGACTTATAAATATTCATGGAAAAGTAGCCTTGTTCTCATAATAACTAACAGGGCATTGCTACTTAAAATTCTGTAATAAACATTTAGTTTATGAAAAATGGAAAGGAGGGTGTAAAACTTGAAGAAAGGAGGTTTATTAGTATTTTTTAAATACATGTCTTTATTGATTTCAAGGAAGGAAAGAGAGGGAGAGATAGAAACATCAATGATGAGAGAGAATCATTGATTGGTTGCCTCCTGCGTACCCCCTACTGAGGATTAAACCTGCAACCTAGGCATGTGCCCTGACCAGGAATCAAACTGACTTCTGGTTCATTGGTCTACCCTCAACCACTGAGCCACATTGGCTGGGTGCTAGGAATCTTTTGATGTCAAATAAGATCACAATTAGAAAAACGTTCATTGCTTTTAAAGGACCTCAAAGTAAGCTTCAAAACCATTACATCATTCATTTATAGTCTAAACTGACAAGGGTTCATAAAGGTGATTAAAAATTACATAAAAACTAATGTTGCTTTTTAAAAATTTTTATGGTTTTTTTTAATTGTATGAAACCTATATTTATATTAAAATGTGCTTTAAGGGAAAATAAAATTAGAAATATTTTCCAACTTACTGAATTTTCTTATTCTTCAGGGGGATTTCCCTGTACAATGAAGAAAAGTTGAAGAATACCTTTTTATTATCTGTCCACCTTTATTCTTTCATTTTAGGTTTCTTAAGATTAGAGATTACTTTAAAAACCATACAAACTCACCTTGTTCTGTGCATCCTTTAGAGTCTAGAGGAAACATAAAATTGGTGTTTCTTATGTAGAATACAATTTTATGTGTCTTTGGCTACTGAGAAAGTGTGGGCTTCAATTAATTATTTTGGTGATTCCCCTGCCATGACCTAATTTTTATGATGGCTCTCCACCTCCCCTCCCCTCCCCTCTCCTCCCCTTCCCTTTTCTTCCCTCCCCTCTCCTCTCCCCTCCCTCTCCTCTTCCCTCCCTTTCCCTCTCCCCCCTCCTCCCTCCCCTCCTTTCTCCTTTCCTCTTTTCTCTCTCTTTCTAAAATTAATAAAATTAAATTAAAAAGACATACCATTAACCATGAGCAGTGTAAAATGTAAAGCTCAGCTCTTTGATCTCAGCCAAAACTTTGTAAGTCTACAAACTGCTTTGAGATGATCTCACTTTATCCATTTATAATTAAGATTTTTATCTAATTTATTGGGGACAGATCTTTTATATCAATCACAAATAGCCTTTTTTTTTTTAAATGAAACTCTGTAATTATAACCACCCTAATAAAGCATTATAAATTTGTAATGCTTTAAGTACTGCCTCTGTAAGTGTTTAATAGAAAATTCTAAATAATTCTATAAGTTATATTTTCTTATAGATTAGTTCTAATTTCTGCTAGTTCTGTGTTCTTTTCTGATAAAGCACAAGATTGTAATGGGAAAAATCTTCTGATTCCTAGTTCATTTAGGCTTTATTGGAAAAAGTATGTAAAAGTATTAAAAAAAAAAAAAAAAAGGCTACCCATTATTTTAATCATAGTAATAGTACAATGATATTTTCTGTGTAAACTGTAGCTTACTCAAGAGGGTTGCTATTGAAAAATGAATTATTCTCCTAAACAAATTTATAAAAAGGCTTCTTGTCTAAACAGATTAAACAGAGCTACTTTTTGACTAAAGATGTCATTTTAGTGGGTAATATTATCTAAATACAAAGCTTGTGCATTGCTTTAATTTAACTTTGTTATAATTTTTTTCTCAATGAGAGGAAGAAATGTTATTGCCTATCATCCTTCAATAAATTCCTAACATATTTTTGGGAAATCTGGCATTTTTAAAGTAAAAATCTCATCTTTGGATACTTATTTTTGCTTTGCTCTCATCCTGATGGGGATAGAGTATTACATTTTTACTATTTATTTCTTCCCTCACCCTTGGAGTGCCCATGACCTTTGCAAAAGGGGGAAAGCTTCTTTCTATGACTTACCACCTCACCGCTGCCTCAGATCCAATGCCCCTTTATGCCACCCTGCGTCCAGTTTTAACAAAATGTCAGGCCAGAGGTCGTTTGCCTCATGGAGAGACTAAACCCAGTATAGCAACACTGACATTACAAGAGCAGAGTGACTGTTTGTACAGAATGGAAAGGTAGTCATTTCTTCTGCTCTTCAGGCAGTAAATGGCATTATTAAATCGAGTCTCCTGCCCAGCTGGTAGAAAATTGAGACTGTTGACATTTTCTAATAAGAACTTTTTAATGTCCTATACTCCTTGGCCAAATCTTATAGAACTGTGTGACCTCTTTTGAAACTTAAAAATGAAGAAGACAAAGAACAACACTAAGTTAAAAAGTGAAGCAGCTACTTGACATTCTTTACTGTTGAAGGTGACATTTAAGTTCATTGTACCTGAAATTATAAGATTTTGTCTATTTTTCTAAATTGTCATCTGAAATAAATGTAGAAGTTTCAAAGAGTAACCATCTTACTGATAAATAAATGGTGGCTTTTGCAGTTGGGGGAATTGCTGGAGGGGGAAAAGATGAGAAATGATGATTAAATCCATAATAAGACTGTTTTATCAAATAAATCCTTTTTATATTGGGTAAAATGTAATAAATTAAGCCCTGCTCTAAAAAAAAAAAAATGGTCATGTCTTACTAAGCATTTTTAATCTTGTTTGGATGTAGGAGCCACTTGACATTTAATCACTGGAGCATTTAATGATTCTTTGAATTAATTTTTTTGAGAAGTGAGGTTAAAATTAACATGGTATTGAGGCTTACATGCTCCAGAATAGATAAATGATTATTATACAAGTTATTTGTTCTTTATATAGGGTGGATATGTTAATGTTATTAGATTTATATGATCATGAGAGATAATTTTACAGAAGTCCTTATCAGTTCTCTTTTCACTTATTTTTTGATAATGTTAGTGAAAAAATTCTCTGTTGAGTTATATACCCAAGAGAAAGGATTAACATGGAGGGAAGTGGTTAGAGGTTATACCTATGTACCATCAAAGCCTAGTCTTCTATTTCAGAATATTAATTTATTTCACTTTGACTTTTGATGCCACCATGTGATTTTAGTCTGCAGTTGTAAAAGGTCATGCTTTTCCTGTTATAGGAAAGGTATATTATTTTGCAGCTTAAAAAATCAATTGTGACTGGAGTGTGTACAAAATGAAAAAGCTAAACACTGCTCCTTTCAATTTTTTCAGTTTGAACTTTACAATTAAAAGACTTTTTAGAAAAGGAGAATTCCTGAGGTGTAATTTTTATGTATAAATAAAGTTTAATCTGTATCTGAGAAGTTGTGGTCTTTTATTATTGTTTTGTTTATTATTAGCTTATCTCAAACAGGCAATACTGGTAAAGAGACTATTCTATAAAGATCATTCTGTTCAACCATATCACTGTGGGCTACTGTGAAAAGAAGTGTTTCGTTTCAACTTACTTGCCAAGTTTTCCTTATCCCAATATAACTGCATAATTTTTATTGAGAAATACAGAACGAGACGGACAAATGCTCTGAAAAGCACCATGGCCCGAGGGAAGTCCTAATTTTTTGTTATATAGTGTCAGAGTTAGAAACTAAACCATGAAAGGGACTACTGAAGAAGTGACGAAAGATTTTTTTCAGGGTGGTTTTTCTGTATTTTAGTTGTATTTCCAGTCTGGTACTGGGAGAGTATCAGTGAGCTTCCACTGCCATTTTGGAATCCTGTATATAACTTTTGATCATTTTTATCTTTTGAGATAATAGCTGAAGGCAACACATTTTGCTGAACTCAGCTAAGAATACATAATACTATACCTCATTCACACTACACACTTAAAGTAATTTATTAACCTAAGGTTGCTACTTTTTTATAACATGATTAATTTGATATTGGCCAGCAAATCTACAAATGGTGGCCATTCTTCAGTTTTTACTTAAACTGGATATTTTGTGGTCTTTTAAATTGGTCTTTTCTGCCCATCCCACCCCAACAGCCTTGTATACTGGCTAATAAAATTGTCATTTGAAAACCGGGGTTTTTAGAGTTTAAAATGTTTGCCAGTCAAATCATTCAAAAGTAAAGACAAGATTAGAAATCACCAGTCAATTTATATGATGTTAGTTGACTCATCATTCTGTGATGCTTCTAAGAAAATAACATGAAAAGATGGATCCAGAGATTTCCTTTTACCAGCTAATCATAAAGAGCTTTTTTTATTTTATCTTTTTAATATATTTTATTGATTTTTTTACAGAGAGGAAGGGAGAGGGATAGAGAGTTAGAAACATCAATGAGAGAGAAACATTGATCAGCTGCCTCCTGCACACCTCCTACTGGGGATGTGCCCTTGACCAGAATTGAATCTGGGACCTTTCAGTCCGCAGGCCGACGCTCTATCCACTGAGCCAAACCGGTTTTGGCAAGAGCTTTTTAAAAAGTCACCTATCCCTTACAGTGAGTACATAGTAACAACCAGAAGGACTACATCTTTAGTTCAGCATTTACCAAACTGAGTAATACCTATGTTTAAAGATGTGGTAAGGGAAGAGATATCTGGTGAGTGGCTGGTGGGTGGTCAGGTCTTCAGCTGCAGCAGAGGTGGCACTTGCCTAGCATGTTGGAAACCCAGGATGTGGGTGGAGTGGTGACACCGGTGCTGCCTAAAGCACCATTGTGGGTGGCAGCATTGCAGTGTAGGTGGACAGACCCCTGGTTATATATCCTCTGGGCCTGCTTAAACTGGCTGTATGTATTATTTTGTTTGCAAGTAACAGCTCTGACTAATATAAGGGAGTTATATATATTAGTTAAGAGCATAAACTCTGGAGACAGCAGCCTGGAATCAATTCTTGGTTCTGCCACTAGCTGTATATACTTGAGGAAATTTCTGAACCTATATCAGCCACAATTTGTCTTAAAATGAGGGCAATACCTTACTACAGGGTGCTATGCTAATTGCATATTAAGGCAATTAGCACAAAATTCAGCGATAAATGATGGCTGTCATTGTAGACCCCTGAATGGTAGGCCCACTCAGACAAGTTTTATAGACAGACACACTCATTTCCTACGACCTCAGAAAGTTCCTGAACCAGTGAAACCTTTCCTAGGTATATATCTGAAGAAACCCCAAACACTAATTTGAAAAGATATACGCATCATGCCCTAATGGTTTGGCTCAGTGGATAAAGCCAACGTCTGCAAGCTGAAGGGTCCCAGGTTCAGTTCCCGTCAAAGGCATGTACCTCAGTTGCGGCATATCCCCAGTACAGGATTTGCAGGCGGCAGCTGATCAACGTTTCCCTCTCATCGATGTTTCTAGTTTTCTATCCTTCTCCCTTCCTCTTTGTAAAAAAATCAATTTATATATATATTTTTTTTTTCTTAAAGATATATGCATCCTTATGTTCATTGCAACATTGTTTACAATAGCCAAGATATGGAAGCAACTCAACTGCTGATCAATAAGTGAGTGGATAAAAAACGTGTGGTATACATATATAATGAATATTACTTGGCCATAAAAAAGATTAAAATTTTACCATTTGTGACAGCATGGATGGGCCCAGAGGGTATTAAATAAGTCAGAGAAACAAATACCGCATAATTTCACTTACATGTGGAATCTAAAGAACATGATAAAAAACAGAAACAGGCTCATAGATGCCAAAAATGAACTGATGGTTATCAGGTGGGAAGGGGGTTGTATACTAATAAGATGAAGGAATTAAGAAAGACAAGTTGATAGTTACAAAATAGTCATGGGAATGTGAAGTACGCCATGGGGAATGCAGTCAATACGGTAATGACTATCTGTGGTGCCAGGTTGGTACTTGAATTATCAGGGGATCACTTTGTAAATTATTTAATTGTCTAACCATAACTACTCTATGTCTGAAACTAATATAAAATAATGTTGAATATAATTAAAAATAAATGTATATGTTACATTTTTTTAAAATCCTATACTTATCAGGACTCTTGGAAGCAAGTGATAGAAACCTCTCTCAGCCACCCGCGGCGGCGGCGGCTCGGCACGCGGGCCTCCTGCAGCCGCCGCCGAGCGAGCAGGGCGCCCTCCCAGCCGCGGGCCGACCATGAGCTGCGGCGCGGGGGCCGCGGAGGGCAGTGATGATCGCAGTGTCTCTTCAGAAGAAAAAGGTTGCCCTAGCCCCAACCTAGATACTTCAAAGGACTCTAAATCAGGAGAGGACAGCAGTTCCGAGAGCAGTTCTGACAGTAGTGACTCCGATAACGAGGAGCCCAAAACAGAAGAGACAAATGAGGAACTGGGAGAGGCTTCCGCCGAGGGCGCTTCCGCTCAGGCTGAAGAATGGGGAGACAAAGAAACACCCACAGAGCATTTTAATTCAGAATGTATTAAAATTGAACCTCACTGTCAACACTGTAATGCTGAAAATAAACACAATGAACAAGTGACTCCTAGACGCCTTTCCGGGGGACAGTTTTTGCTGAAGGTGGACACGGAGGGAGTGTACGAGTGCACGGAAACGGGTCTGATCTTTGAGGTTAACAGGAAAGTTGACATCAAGTATTGCATCTTGTCCTGGAGCAAATACGCAGACCTGGTTGTCAAGCCCTGGGCTGTTGGGGGACCCATGTTTGATGTCAAGTGTGACCCAGCCTGTCTTACCTCCATTCAGTTTCCACATTCCCTCTGCCTGGGCCGCCAAGATGCCAACATGACATTCCGAGTCTTACACGTTAAAAATTCCGAGGCCTCATTAGAATGCGCTGTGGACCATTCTTCGACCCACGTGAAATGGCACGTGAGCTCTCTTTCTCCCGTGGGACCTGTGATTCAAAGCGAAGAAACGTTGTACCACCACGGGGCTGTGATTCTGTACAAAGTCATCGACCAGAATCCATCCTTATCTTTCCGGGTGTACATAGCAACCAACAACGAGTCCTTCATCAAGGACATTGCCAAGGCTGTCAAGCACTCCTCTAAGAAATTCATGAAGATCGACAAGCCTCCGGTGTGCCTCAAGTTATTGCAGAACGGGAAGAAGTACAGACTGGTCAGTGAACCGGAAGCTGACATCACCCCCGAGGAAATTGAATTTGTGGATGGTTCCACTTTAAAACTGAAAAGTTATATTGAAGTTTATTTGGAGCAACCAATGGAGTTTAAATTACTGTTGGTCGAAATGGATTCTGACGAGATTGTGTGGAAAGCCAAACTGAGAGAATGTGACTGGGTTCAACACGAACAGAGTCAGAACGTTTCCAAGAGCAGCACAAGTGGTAAAAGGCGGCGTAAAGTAAGTAGCACTCTGCCTGAAGAGGAAGTCAATGCTAAAAGGCTGAAGCAGGTTGACACGTCAGATGCAGCAAAGACCCCACTAACAGACGATCAGTTGATTACCCTTGCTGGGAAGTTGGGGAAGGAGTGGATAAAAGTTGCCATTGTCAACCTGGAGTTGGACATCAGCGATATCGACGATATCCGGGAGAAGAATGAAAATGTGACGATTTGTAAGTTTTGGATGCTGAAGAAGTGGCAGGAGAAGGAGAAGAGCAATGCCACAGTCCAGAATTTACATAGCTGCTTGAAAAACGACTCGGCGGAAGTCCAGGATGTGCTGGAAGGTTTCTTATAGGCAACACGAGATTTGGAAGATGAACCGAAAAAGGAAGCCTCAGGAACGTTTTATCTGCGAAACACCATTTCACCCGGTCATTGGGGTAGCGACTTAATGCGACCTTGAACCCATTCTCTGGAACAACTTCTCCACCGCCCGCCCCTCTGTAGCTCACACTATCCAGGGGCAAAGAGAATGCAACATTTTGGGAAAACTTGAGGAAGAAAACACCTTTATAATCTCAAGATTTTTTCTTTTCTTTTTTGGCACCCCCTGCTCACACCATCCCACCAGCTCCTCACCCCAAACAGGTACCATCCCAAAGGGTGCTTAAAATAACTCAACTCAGGCAGGTGAGAAATGTGGTAATATTTTTTTTTTGGAGCACTGTGGATTCTGAAATTCCTACCAAGTGTTTGGAACACTTTTAGCAAGGACACGGTGGTGCGCTTACACTTGCACTGATTTAGTGTAGTTTTTATCGGGCTGACATTCATCACGAAGAGAGGTTCCTGTTCTCCCAGCCTCCACAGGTTTGAGGGGTGATCCCAGGATGAGCTGCCGCTGCCCATTGCTCCCCTGGTTGCAAACCTCCCGGGGTCCCTTAGAGTGTACGCATGCCACTGGGCACAATAGATCTTTCCACGTGGGATTGAATTTTTCTGCGTCTCCCATCACTAACCTCTCTGGTTAGTGGCCCGTTAAACAGTCAAACCCATCCTGTCACCTGGTCCCGGAGTGATCAGAACGAAATGTCATCCTCTCCCCATCGGAGCGTTGATAAGCTCACTCCCAGGTGATCGCCTCGCCTTCCCCGGGCAAGTTCAACTGGACCCACTGTCAGAGTTGCTGTAAGTTCCATCAGCTTTCTGAAATCGCCGGGCCAAGCACTGCCTTTCTTGACTGTGACCCTGGGATCGTTTACTTTGGGGGTGGGGGTAGGTGGGGAACCCGCTCAGAAACGGCCTCCGCTGGACCACGGTAGAACCGTCACCTCTTCTTGAAGAAGACTCGCCCTTGGGGACCATGGGTCACATTGGCTCTTGATAATTGGTGAAGCGTTCGTCTGTGTTCTGTGTATACAGATACTGTCCCTCCTCCAGAATCATGCCTGTGGTGATTAGCCTTTTGGATATGTGTTGTTAACTTATTGGAAGACACTATCAATTGCCCGTTAGTCTTCTGTCGTCATTAGCTGGAGAGTAAAATGAATCTCAATGAATTAAGCAGAGAGACACACTTTATGGTTTTGCCTGTGAAGAAGAACAGACTTACTTTATAGGGAATAACGTATTTTTTTAACTGTCCGGGATCCTGTGGAATTCAGATCAGTGTCACTTTAATGAGTTTTTTTGTTTTGTGTTTTTTTTTGTTTTGTTTTGTTTTGTTTTTAATTGTACTATATTTTAGGAAACACGTGGACTTTTAACATTCGGAAGTGTAAACTACTTAAAAGGACTTGAATTTTTTAAAATGTTTATTATTTTTTTATAAGTTGTTTTTCAAAGAAAAGCATAATTGCAGAAAAGCTTTGTATATCAGCTGGTTTCCTAGCCATTTTCATACTATGGATGAAGGGAAGAAAAATAAACCTGCATTTATTTGTACAGTGAAAAAAAAAACAAAAACAAAAACAAACAAAAAAAAAAACACCTCTCTCAAACTGGCTTAAAAACAAAAAAAGATAATTTATTCACTCATGTAATAAATAGTACAGAAGGTAGTCCTGCCTTTAGATACAAGTGGCTCTGGATGCCCAAATTATGTCATTGGGATTCTGTCTGTCTCTCAGGGTCTGGAGGAGGGCCTTCAAAAGGTATGTCCACCTGGGACCTCAGAATGTGACCTTATTTGGAATACAGGTCTGTGCAGATGAAATTAAATCATAGCTCTCAAGATGAGATCATCCTTGATTTAGGGTGCACCTTACATCCAATGATTGTATCCTTAGAAGAGAAAGAAAAGGAAGATTTGAGATGCAGAAGCGCACCAGGAAGAAGGTCATGTGAAGATGGAGGCAGAGCCTGGAGTTCTGTTGCCACAGCCAGAGAACTCCAGCCGCCAGCAGCTGGAAGAGGAGAGGAAGGATTATCCCCATGAGCCTTCAGAGGCAGTGTGGCCCTGCTGACGCCTTGATTTCAGACTTATCTTCAGAGAGGTGAGAAATAAATTCTGTGATTAAGCTACCAAGTTTATGGTTGTTTTTTTTCCAGCAAATTCGCCTTCGTTTCTTCAAGCCCAAGATAGGGCCTGGTGTTTTTAACTTCTAAACTAATCATCGTCAGGAAGGGAGCAGGTGGGCCACTAAGTTCGTCAGCTCTGCAGGTTTCAAGTCTCTGTACCATATGGTTCTCTAAAGGAAACTGGAGGCACTATTACCAGAAAAAGTAATATATTCTGTTCAGAAAGAAATTTGAAAACAAAAAAAAAAACTACAATCAGCAAAAAAGTCTGACATGGAACAGTTAAAAATGGATTTTTTAAAGTGTTGTCAAGTAGAGGTAGTTCTTCAATGAATAGTTGCTTATAATTAGCAATCAAATGTTGCCATGGTCCTGCTGGCCTTCTATATTTAGATAATCTGTAAATATATCATTCTAAAGAGAATGAAAGGTTGGGGTGGGGAGGTTCCCTTTCATAAGAAACCATTGCTAAATGAGCTTTGTTTGCGCTGCCTTGCAAGCAATTGAGCTTCAGTGTGGACAGTAATGGCGTTAATTTAGTCATTAATAAGACAAATTATACTTATTAGGGTATGAGCTTTGAGTTCTCAATTGTAATACAGAAAAAATTCAGGAGTCATTTAGATCAACTCAGTATGTAGCTGTAGCCAAAAATATAATAAACAAACAAACAAACAAATAAATAAATAAGCAAGCAAGCTAGCGAAGTATGAGAGAAAAAATACAAGAAAAATATGTGCTACATTTGGACAGACCTATGGTGTGTCTACCTAGAAAATTGTTTCCTGTTTTAGTTTCTATACCTCAAGAAAAGACATAATAGAGAAGGAAGAGGTGTAGAGAAGAGCAACTAAATTGATTAGCTCTTCTCAACAAATATTTATCTAACTTCCACGATGTGTGAGACACTGGTTTAGGGACACCAGACTAGCAAAGTCGTAGTTGTGGTCCTCCACTCCACAGGCTAGTGGACAGACAGGTCCATGAATGAGCAAGAACAGTGCGGTGGGTGCAGCAGGCATAGGCCAGGGAGGCACAGGCCTGCTCAAATCACAGAGGAGCCATCTGGCCGGGCGGGAGTGAGAGAAGGCAGCATAGGGCGGTGGGCTTGTCGTATGTGTATGTTTAGGAGTGAAAGAGTCCAGTTTGAAAGTAAGTAGCAGTGGAGGGGAGAGCTGGGGTAACTGAGAGAAAATAATCTAGCAAAAAGGCTGGAGTTAAAGGATGTTGTCTAGGGGTTGGCCTTAAATAAATAGGAAGAAAAACCCCACATCCTCCAAAAATAGAGAAAAGGGTATGGAGGTGGTTATGGGTATAGATAAATTGTTAGGTAAAGTTTACAAAGTTAAGGGAGAGTATACCTGACATACTTAATTTGCTAAAGTAGAAATTTTTTTTAACCTTTTGGGTGTTGAGAATCTAAGGAAAATTATAGATGTTTCACCTCTCAAAAATGCACATTTTAAAAATTTTTACACATAATTTCAGTTTCCCAACCTCTTGCATCCCAACCATGAACTCCATGTAGAGAGCCTGGGTTCCACTCGGATTAAACCGGCCGTTTGCTGAGAGTAAGGGGTCGGAGGCTGGAAGGTTTGGAATGAACACTGAAGAGCAAGCAAGAGGGACCTGAACAGACACACAGAGGAGAGACGAGTTGCCGCGTTGAACCAAGTTTGGGTGTTAAGAGAAGTGGAATGCCCACGAGGGAACACAATGACTAAGCCACATTCCAGACTGGATGGGGAAGAAGAGAGGCCAAGAGGAGAGGGACAAACTGGGAGGCAGGGCTGCATGAGCTGGGAGGGAAGCTACCTCACATTATGCAACAACAACAACCAAGATTCTTGAGGCCCAAGCCAGGTAGCTCAGGTGGTTAGAGCATTGTTTCCGATATGCCAAAGGTGTGGGTTTGTCCCTGGGCAGGACACATGTAAGAATCAGTGAATGCATAAATAAGTAAAACAAAGAATCAATGTTTCCCTTCCTCTCTCTCTTTCTCAAATCAACCAATAAATTAAAAACAATTTAAAGTGCTTGAAAAATTGAAAAACACTTCCTGGAGGTAGGCTCATTGGATCTGTTGTAGGTAGTCCTAACCTATCTTCCCTCCGTGGTCCCATTGGGCCTCCTCTGCACTTCTTCGCCACTTGCTCTTCTCTCTCTACATACAAGCATGCTCAAGTCTCTCCCATGTGTAAAACAACAACAAACTTTCCTTTAAGAATAAGTTCAAGAGTGGAATTAAAGCTCCATATGTTATAGGAAGTTCTAAAACAGACACAAATACAAAGAAGACATTTCAAATCAATGTATGGAGGGGGTGGGAAGGAGAATAAATCACTCAATCAATGATGTTGAGACTCCTGGGTAGACATATGGGGGGAAATAGGTTGGATCTCTTTCTCACACTGTACAGCAAAAAAGTTCCAGATAAAATTTTAAATGTAAAAAAAAAGATGAAAACATAAAAATAGAAGAAAATGTGGGAGATTTTACTTTTATTATGTCAGAATTGTCAAGAATTGCTCAAGGATAACATAACATCCAAAATTTAAAGCAATTCTGCATAAAGAGCACAGTCAAAAGACAAATGAATATTTGCAACTGACATCACAGACAAAAGGCTACTCCCCTTAGAATTTGAATAGCTGATAGGAAAAATTCAACAAGAAAAAATCAGCAAGGCAATACATAAATAAGCAAAGTTTATAAATACACAATTCATAGAAACAAACTGGATCTTCAAATAGATGATAAGAAAATCAACCATATTCATGAAAAAAATTCAAATTTAAATTACGATGTGAAGTAATTTTTCACCTAATAGATTAGCAAACGAAAAAATGTTAACACATCCTGTGTTGGTAAGGGTGGTGGGAAACGCATTCTCTCATTCATTGCTAGTAGGAATGCAAATTGTGTGCCTCTCTGGAGGGAAATGTGCCAATATCTATAAATATACAACAGAACTGTAATTCCACTGCTAGGAATTTATCCTACAAATACACTTGCACAAATATAAAATGACATGTTGTCTTTAATTGAGCATTATTTGTAATAATAAGAGATTGGGAATCATTTTAATATCCATCAATGGGGGACTAGTTAAGTAAATTGTTGCCTCCATTCTATAGAACACAACCTGCTGGTCAAAAAATGAGTCATGAAGACGTGAACACAGAGCTCACGAACAGCAAGGATGCCTCCAGTCTTCAGGAGCCACTGGAATCAGTGTCCGGATAAATATACAGAATATATATCTCTAAGATATAGTAAATGAAAATACTGAAGTGCAGAATAGTGTGTTACCAAAAAATATATAATATATAAAGGCCCTAACCAATCTGGCTCAGTGATTGGAGTGTTGGCTCAAGAACTGAAGGGTC